GTGTGTGTGTGTGTGTGTTTCCCTTGGGTCGCCGAGGCCCCGCCCCTCGGCCTGACGTCGCCTGCCCCCGACGTCATCATCGCCCGCCGCGCCTCCGTCCCTCGGCGGCCGGAGCCGGGCCGCTGCCGCGTCAGCCTCTGAAGCGGCAGGGGCAGGGTAGCGCCCAGGCCGCGGCACCGCCCAGACCGACGACGGAGGGTGATCCTGGGCACGCGCCTCGCCACCCTGGGCAGCCAGCCAGACCCCTCGGAGCCCCTCCCTCCTCCCCTGCCCCTGTCCTGGGGGGGGGGAGGGAGGAGAGCAATTCTCACACACACACACACACACACACACACACACCCCGCCTGAAGGTGTCTGCAGCAGTCAGGAGTGACTCGTGGCCGCTCCCATTAAAATCAAGGCGCCTCTCAGCTTATGGGCCTAGAGTTCGCCTGCGTTCCAGCCGGTGCCACATTCCTTCCCTCTGGCTCCTCCCCCTGTTATCTCTGACCTTGTACTCCTGCCTGCCCGCCCGGTGTCTCCACTTTAATTAACCCTGAGACTAGTTTCTTTTTCTCAGCCTGGGATCGGGTGGGTCGTCGGTTACTCTCTCCCGGCCTCGGGAAAAGGGGCGATTGGCCCACAGGTGGGGGGGGGGGGGACCTCTTGAATCTTCTGTACTGACAATAAAGCAAAACCTTTCTTGGAAGTGCCTGCCTAGTTGTTTGGCTGTGGGTCCTGGCAGTGCCACTGGAGTAATTGCTTTATTTCCCCCTGGTGTCATCTCTTAGCCCCAGCATTCAGAGGTTTCCTCCTTCTAGATGTTCATTTACTTACTTCATTTATACCCTACCTAACGCCCCAATGGGGACCCAAAGTGGCTGGCATCATTCCCCTCCCCTCCATTTTATCCTCACAACAACCCTGTGAGGTACTTTAGGCTAAGAGAGTGTAACTTGTCCAAGGTCACCCAGCAAGCTTCCATGACAGAGCAGGGATTCAAACCTGGGTCTCCCAGACCTTAGTCTGACAATCTAACCACTACACACTTAGCCACTAGTAGATCTAATATCTGTGAATCTGGCTAACCCCCTTTTAAAGCCATCTGTGCTTGTGGCCATCACTACATCTCACTGGCACTGAATTCCATAATTTAATAATTCATTGGGTGAAGTACATCCTTTTGCCCATCCTGAATCTATTGCCCACCATCAACTAATTTAAGTGTCCTGGGCAGTAGGGTTAGAGTTAGCAGTCCCAGAGATGGCTGTGTTATGGTTTATGACCCAGTCCAGAGTCAAACATCCAGTTAGAGTGGGTGTAAATTACTCCCAACTGTTGATTAATTGGAAAAGTAAGGTGAATAATGTCCATAAGCCTGTACAGAGGGACGGCACTTTCTGCAGTGAGTTCCAGGGAGCAGCCATGTTGGTCTGCAGTAGAAGAGCTGGATTCTCATCCAGGAGCACCTGAGAGGCCAGCAGGATTCTTGGGGTAGGAGCTCTCAAGACAGAGGGAGGCTTTGACGGCACTCAAGAGTTCACCCCCCCAAAAAAACCTTGTTGGTCTCTTAAGGTGCTCCTGGACTAGAATCCAGCTCTTCTATCGAGAGTTAGCAATGAATATAGTCATCCACATGCAGATTTAGATACTATCAAACCTGGATTCTGCAAGGAATATACCCACGATATAACTGTCTTCAATTACTATTGGAAACAAGTCTGATGGTATCTAGATCTACATAGGAATTCCTGTTATGATTTCTAGCTAGCTCACTACAGTCGGTATTTGTCAGCAGAGCAGACCTTCACGGCTCCCCCTGCCTGCTACCACCTAAAATTCCCCCTGAAAGGCTGCTGCTGCTGGGGAGCCGTGTGCATAATACTAGCCCTTTTCTCTCTATGGTACTCAGTACAACACTATGGAGAAAAGTTTATCTATGCACAGCAGACCGTCTTTCTGCTCTGGGGAACAGGTAGTTCAGCAGAAGCCTCTTGTGATAGTTGTGGGCACTGCTCCCTCTAAGCTGAGTTAGTGTGAGCTACCTCACAGTTTCTTAGCCACCAGCTCACACATTTATTGCCTTAGCTCAGGAAGGATGGCTCCAGAGAGCAAACTAATTTATGTAGTAGCCAAATCGCTCGCTCACAACTTTAATGCCAGCAGCTCACAAAGTAGAATTTTTGCTCACAAGACTCCACAGCTTAGAAGCAACATTGGTTGTGGTTATTGTACTGTTCCCCTCCCTGCTTCAGAAATTGATCTGGCTAGCTAGACCAGAACTATTTGCCTGTTCTGGATGATTTATGCAAACCCTGAGGCGCAAATAATAAGGAAATTAAGAGAGGGTTGATGTATTTGCATGCACCTGCCTATTTGCATAAGTGCTTGGCAAGGCTTGTTGTGAGAGTTAGAGTGCCAGAGAGAATACAGAAAACGTCAGATCTTTTGACTTTATTTTCCACTGTGTGTGTTGGCTGTTGCTGTACCTCTTGCCTGCCAACTATTATAATATGGCTAACTTGTGGAATATGGACTCAGTAATTGACTAGGATGTACTGACACTGAAATTGTGAATGCTTTGATAGATGGCAATTGTTTGTACATCCAAATTATGCAAGCTCAGGCATCACTCATCCGGACTTCATTGAATGCTTTGAACTGAGCTGACTGGGTACATTTTTTTAATGCACTCAGGGACATGCGTCTGTATCTGGGCTGTGGACCACCAGGTAGCCCGTGTGGTATAGTGGTTAAGAGTGTCAGACTATTATCTGGGAGAACCAGGTTCAGATCCCCAGTTGTGCTATGGAAGCTCGCTGGGCGACTGGGCCAGTCACACTCCCTTAGACTAATCTACCCCACGATGGGTTCTTGTGAGGATAAAACTGGGAGAGGCGCGAATGGTGTAAGCCACTCTGGGTCTCCACTGGGGAGAAAGGTGGGTAAAAATGAATTACATCAATTAGTTATGCGACTGCTACCCACAAATAGAATTAGATTATCTGTTCCAGTCTTTTGTAGTTTGAGATGTCTATTGCATTATGAAATGTTCAGCAAAAAGGGCCAGTTGATACAGTCAGCATAATAAGAACAGCCCTACTGGGCTGGATTGAAAGTCCATCTTGTCTTGCATCCTGTTTCCCCCAGTGATCAGTAGATCCTTCCACCAGAGGAGCTGGTAGATGATAACCCTGTTCTGCTGTCCCTACCCACAGTAATTGGCCTTTACAGTGCAATCCTAAACAGAGTTACACCCTTCTAAGCCCAGAAGAGTGTAACTCTTTAAGATTGCACTGTTAGAGGCACACCGCCTCTGAACACAGAGAATCCATTTAACTGTGGCAGGTCTTCTTGAACAGTTGGATATTATGTTTTAGAATTTTCCCCTACGAAGAAGTAACCTTTCGTATATTGATCTTGCTGTATAGCTCTCGTTTTGCAAGAAACCATCAGGCCTGAACAGGTGACCCCAGGGTCATCATCAAGGGTTCGCATCAGGTGATTGACTGATGGAGGGTGGTAAGCAGTGGGGTACCGCAGGGATCAGTACTTGGAGATGGGAGTAAGCAGTGAAGTGGCTAAATTTGCGGATGATACAAAGTTGTTCAGGGTGGTGAAAACCAGTGAGGATTGTGAGGCACTCCAAGGGGATCTGTCAAGGATGGGCGAGTGGGCGTCAACATGGCAAATGGGGTTCAATGTGGCCAAGTGCAAGGTGATGCACATTGGAGCCAAAAATCCTAAATATAAATACACATTGATGGGGTCTGAACTGGCAGAGACTGAGCAAGAGAGAGATCTTGGAGTTGTAGTAGATAACTCACTGAAAATGTCGAGACAGTGTGTGACTGCAATAAAAAAAGGCCAATGCTATGCTGGGGATTATTAGGAAGGGTATTGAAAACAGATCAGCCAATATAATAATGCCCCTATATAAATCAATGGTGAGACCTCATTTGGAATACTGTGTGCAGTTCTGGGCACCACACCTTAAAAAGGATATTATAGCTTTGGAAAAAGTGCAGAAAAGGGCAACTCGAATGATAAAAGGGTTGGAACACTTTCCCTATGAGGAAAGGTTAAAGCGCTTAGGGCTCTT